CTGCTGACCCCCTGCTGCCCCAGGTGCACGTGTACGACCCCTACGACGACGACTATTACCAGACGGTGCCGCTGGACTCGCACCAGGCCGCCTACATCAGCTCGGGCCACTACGGCCACCAGTACGGAGGTGGGTGGCCCTGCTGGTGGCACTGGGGGGGGTGCCAGGAGGGCGGTGCCCCCCTGGCTCACCCCCTTCCTCCCCGTTTTCCCTGGCAGGTCCCGGGGTGACCCACGTGATCGTGCGGGAGGATCCCTACCGCGTGTCCGGGGACCAGATGGCGCTGGGGCTGCTGGCGGGGGCGGCCACCGGCGCCGCCCTGGGCTCCTTCATGTGGATGCCCTGCTGGTTTTAGGAGCCCCCCCAAACTGGGGCACGGCCCCCTTAACCAGGTCGCAGCACCCCCAGCCCAGTTTAACTCACCCCTGGCTTGGAACCTGCCCTGAGCCCCCCACCAAAACCCTGGGGGCAGAGACCCCACACCCACCCTCCTGCCAGCCCCAGCTTCTGCATTGAATAACCCCCCCCATGCTTCAGAGACCCCCTGAAACCCACCCCAGAACTCCACAGCATCCGATTCCCAGCGGGAAAGGGCCTGGGAGCTGCCGGGGCTGTCGGCAGAGGGGGGGGTGCAGTTCCTCACCCCGAATCTCTAGAGGGAGCCGGCTGCACAAATACCTGGATTTGGAAGCAAGGGGGAGTTAATTTGGGGGAAGTGGCTGGATTTCTTTTTGGCTGGGTGAGCTCCATGAAGAGGCTTTTTAGGGGCTTTTTCTGGGAGAGGCTCCAGCACTGGAGCAGGAGTTGACACAAGGGACAGCCACAGGGATGCTCAAGAGAGGGGTAAAGGATTAAGGAGGATGAAAACCTCTGCAGGATTCCCACCCCTTTCCAGTACCACACCAGTCCCCTGGGCTGGAGAAATGGTGCAAAACCCCCAGGAACTGGAGTTAAACCCCTGGGAACTGAGCTGGGAAGAGCCCAGGGAATATCCTAGCCAAGTGGGAGGGACACGCAGCACCCTGATTTTTAGGAGGGGGAGAAGGGCAGCTCTCCCTGGGGACCAGGATCCTTCCTGGCAGCCAAACCAGGAACTTCTCAGCTGGGATTTGGGATAGAGGGGACACACATGGTCAGGCCTGGGGACAAGCAGCAGCTCCTGGGTTTTTTGGGCAGCACAGGGAATGGCACAGGAAGGGGATGAGGAGCAGCTGCTGAGCATCACCCTTACAACCAAGGTTTTATCCTGGAGACAGCACTGACATTAAACAAATGTAGGAATTACAAACAGACCCCACAGCTGGATAAAGAACCACCAGTGACACCAGCACCCAGCTCTGCCAGTAAAGCCCTGGATCAGCTCATCCCTGCACCGAGGGGGTTTGGGATATCCCCATGCACATCCTCATCCTCTCCTGCCTTCCCTGCCTCCCTCCTGCTGCATCTGCTCCCCGGAAGGGAATAAAAACACAACCCCTGTGCGGTCTAATAAAGGCAGCGAAAAACCAGCCCTGGCCTGTGGTGAGTGAAGTGGAGGAGGGGCTGCTCAACCTGGGCCATTCCAGAGGGGGGGAAGGGTGTCCCCCTCGAGAGCTGCACAGCACCAGCTCCCCTGTCTCCTCCTGCACCCCTTTACCTCCCTCCCTTTCCAGCTGGGAGCCCCGAGGGCAGTGGGAAGGCTCCAAAAATGCCTCAGCTCCTCACAGGAGTGGGGCTGGAGCATCCCCAGGGATCCCACCCCAGCCTCTGAACATGCCATAAAGACCCCAAAGAGGCACAGAAGGGACAAAGCTGTCCCAAAAATCCTGCTTCTGTGCAGGGGAACCACCATCCTGCACTGGCAGAGCAGCTCCTTTGCCTCCTGGATTTGTGGATGAGGCCTCTCCGCTTGGGAAGGGACCAGTGCAGTGACAGGCACTGCCATCCCTGGGTTAATCCCACCATAAAACACCAGCTCCCAAGGGCAGGAGAGGAGAAGGATATGGCCCCACACACCCCCGTCTTTTCATCCCTTCTGCCCTCTCCATGTCCAAGCCGCTGTCAGATGCTGATCCTCAGATGCTGATCCAACACCCACAGCCAGAGGGCAGGGATAGATGGGATATGGGGAAGGAATTCTTCCCTGGGAGGGTGGGGAGGCCCTGGCACAGGTTTCCCAGAGAAGCTCTGGCTGCCCCATCCCTGGAAGTGTCCAAGGCCAGGTTGGACGGGGCTTGGAGCAACCTGGGATAGCGGGAGGTGTCCCTGCCCATTGTGTCCATCTCCCATCCCTCCCAGAGTTCCAAGGTACTGGGAAGAGCTAGGGATAGCTCAGCTCCAAGGCTGAATTTCTTCTTAATATCTAATTTAAACCCTTCCAACCCAAACCATTCCATAATTCACTAAACAAGGTGCACAACATCTGGAAGTTTTTCAAGAGCAACGTGACCCAGAAATCCTCCCTCCTTCCTAGGCCACGTCCAGCTGCTCCCCCAGCTCAGACTCCCACACTCCCCTTCCCTGTGGTACCTGAACATCCAGGGCTGATCCCGCTTCTCTCCTGCTGTGCTGGTCTCCCAAAGACCCAGGGGCATGGAGCAATCCATGGGAAGGGCAGTGATGGATCAGCACGTGCCTCCAGCAGCGATTCCGGTGGGAAGAGCTGATGGCAGTCAAGCCCTGCGCTAGGAAGCTGAACAAAGGAGCAATTAAATGTTTCAAAAATCAGTCTGGAAGCACAAACACCAGACCCACAGTCCACAAAACCACCTGGACTGGGCTCTGCTCCGCTCAGGAAAGGGGCTTCCTGGGAGCTCATGGTGCTGCCACCGGGCAGGACCAGAGGGAAAAGAAGTGCTGAGGAACAGAAATTAGGGATAAGCTGCTCCATTCCCAACTCCAATCCAGACTCACATGACTCCTCTCTCCCAGCAGGGAGAGCTGACGAAGATCCAGACATTGAGCAAAGCTCAGAACAACTCCCAAACTCCTTGGAAACGAGGATGGACACGGCAGGATTCACAGGCCCAAATGTGCCCCTAAACTGCCTGGAAAGATGAATCCCACAATATCCCACAGCACAGAAATCAGCTGGGGGCCATGTGACCCTCGCTGGGATCCAAACACACTTCCCTGGAAATCAAGCAGCTCGGGAAATGTCAGGATCGAACCTTGAATTTCCACCCAAGCTCAAATTCCACCCTCAAACTTCCAGTCAGATTTCCTACCGAGCTCAGATAAACACGGGAAAGGCCGGTGCCAAACCACCAGCAGCAATCAATCAATCCCATTTTCTCCCTCGCCTGGAAAATTTGGGAACAGCACCCCGAGGCAGAGCTGTGGGGCAGCAGGAGCATCATCATCCAGCTGCCTTCAGCCCTTCCCTCCTCCTCATCCTCCCGGGAAGGGCAGAGCTGCTCCCAGCACTGCAATTCCACTGAGGTTTCATTCCCGACACACCCGCGCCCGGCATTTACATCCTGCTCCTACAAGAGGATCCCAAATTTCTTATAAAAAGCCACTTTGCTGCCTGCTCAGGGTGGTGAAGGGAAAGGTGGTTAAAGGGGCAGGGGAGGGGAATAAAATAGGTATTTTTGCCAATTGAAGAAAAGTCAATTAAATCAATGAAAGACCCATTGAACCGGTGAAAACGAAGCCCAGCAAGCCTGGAAATCTCGGCTCAGGCAGCGGGAGAACGGCAGGGGAGGAGGGAATGCAGATGGGAGGAGAGGGCCGGCTGTTTGCAGCTGCCTGTGCCGCAGCCTGCCCATCCCATTTATCTTCCTTCCGGAGCTGGGACATGCCCAGCATGGAAAAAGGAGCTGCTGCAGCAGGTCGGGAGAGCCCCCGCGCTCCGCTCTGCCGAGGATTCCGCCGCTGGAAGCACAGCTGCAGCCAGAGGACGGCGCCGGCGGCTGCAGCGGCTCTGCAGACGCTGCCAGGAGGATGCTGTGGATGCTCCAGCCTGGAAAAATCACAGCTGATCCCATCAGCGGGCAAAAAAACCACAAGCACCATCCAGGCTGAGCCAGACGCTCCCTGTCGGAGTTTGGAGCAGGGCTGGGAGCAGAGCTCGACCCACCGGGACCAGCACCCTCTGGGAGCCCCCCACCCTTTCCCTGCAGTTTAACCCAGCCCCCCTTCAGAGGAGGGAAATTGGGATCTCAGTGTCCGAGGTGGCAGACCCAAGGCTCAATTCCAAAGAGGAATTGGGACTGTCACACTTTGGAGACACCACCCTCTGACATCCCACTTGGCTCCTTCCATCCCAAACCCACTGCCCAGAGAGGAATGTGGGGTTTCCAAAGGCTCCCAGGACCTGGAGGTGCCAAGTACAAGGAAGAGAAATTAACCCTGTGACAAAAACCTCCTCCAGTGACTTGTCCCCACATGGCTCTTCCCATATCCCTGAATTCCAGCACATCCCCACAGCTTCCCAATTAGTTGATTCACAGCCCTTCACCAAGTGACCGAGGTTGGGATGCTGGTGTTCCCACACCAAATCCAGGGAATTCCCTTCTCTACTGACCAGGGGCTTGGAGCAAGCCGTGTGGAAGATGTCCCTGCCCATGGTAGCAGGTTGGGACTCCCTTCCAAGCCAACCATCCTGTGATTCCATGATTCTCTACTCCAGGAAAGACAAGGATAACTCATCCACGAGCATCTGTTACTGGTACTCACCTCCCTGGCCCCGCCTGCCCAGCTCCAAGGCTTAAGGAGGATCCTCCTCAGGGAAGGTGGGGTTGGTCCACCCGTGTCCCAGGGAAGCTGAGGCCCTTGGAAAGGGAACAGCTGGATGTCAAGAGCGGGAAAGGCCCAGAAAGGCACAGCTGGAAAATGGTAGAGACACCGCGTGGAACTGGAGGAACAGCAAACGCACAACTCCACGTCTTCCCTCTGCAAAGAAACCCCCCCAAAACATTCCTGTTGCCCTTAAAAAACTTCTCCTGCGGCACTTCCAACCCCCAAATCCGGAGCTGCACCTCCCACCTGTGTTGTGATGGAGAGAAGAGACCCAGAGCTTTCCAATGAGACAGGTATTTATTTAGTTCAAGCGCTAAGGATTTGTTCTGTTGTCGTCGTCGCCATTATCAAACAGAGCTGAGGTACCAGTGACATTCCAACACGAAGAAAAGGAACCTTTCCCCCCCCACCACCCCCTTACACAATTTCTTCAACTACTTTTATCAAGACAAAAGGTGAGGCATGGAAAAGCTGCGTGATGGGGCTGTACAATGAGCAGGGCAGAGCAAGGAGGGGAAAAGAAACAGAGCCGAGACCCTCACTCCAAAAATCACACCAAAGGCAGCACTAGAAAGGTCTGTTCCCACAGTTCCCAAGGAGCAAAGGAAAACTAAAACCTGAAACCAGATGGTGCAAAAAAAAAAAAAAAATAAAGATCATGTTGCTTCTGTGCTCACTTTGGAAGGGTGTTTTCTCTGGAGAACTGGGATTAGGGCTGTGGGCACGTTAAGCCTGGACTAACAGCAAGGACTATCAGAACGTACCTGAGCACACCCAGGGACCCCGTGGTGGAGAAGTGCCAAACCACACCCTCATCCATGTTCCTGCAGCCCCAGGGAGCTGTGGGAATGCTGCTCTCCAGACCTTTGTTTAGCGGGAATCATGGCCAAACCTGCTCTCAGGTCTTGCAGGAAAAGCTGGGAAACCCCCGGGCTCAGCCAGCTCCTTGCAAATCCAGTGCTTAAAGCTTGGGACCACGGGAAGCAGAGGGGGCTTGGGTCTACCAGAAGCAAGAAAACCAAGGATGTGCTGGTGGGAAACAGCCAACTGAGGACCAGGAGAAGCTGCATGAAGAACCAAAGGAAGAAGAAAGCCAAGGAAGAAGCAGCGGGATGAGGCATTTCTGCACGGGTAAGGACAGTACAACACAGGAAAAGCAGCCAGGTTTCCTTCCCCCAGACAGGTTCTTTTTAAAGAAAGAATGGTCCTTTGTCACATATCATTGATGTTTATTTCAAGACATGCCACGTCAAAAAAACTCCTTTAATGCCTTTAATATTGCATTAGAAAAGCACTTTTACATCTCGTTCTGCCTTTGAGTTATTGTTGTGCAGAGTTGCCAGAAACCCAGGGCAGGGCACGAGCCCCTCAGGAATGAAGAATTCCAACTCTTTTATGCCCGTTTCCTGGTGGGAAGTGGTGGTGAGGACGATTTCCCTTCCTCTCCCCCATTTTAAGTGGCAGGGAAAAGGGCAAGGAGAACCAAGGAGGAGCCTGAATATTCCCTGGCAATTGTCCTTCTAAGCAGCAATCGCAACCCAGACTCAGGAATTCCTTCCCTGCAACTCGGCCAGATCTGCCCAGCAAACAAGGTATTTACAGGTGTGGTTTTTTTATTAACTTACACAGCAACTTCACAATGAACTAGTAAAGATTAAAAGGGTGCACTTCTAGTGTGTTCCATTCTGTGGGTCTCGGGGAGCTACATCCAGCAACACCAGCAAAAGCTCTACAACAGATTCCTCAGCCAAAGGAAAAAAAAAACCCCACAAAATCAGTACTGAACAGAGTAAAAAAAAAAAAACAAAAACAAATTAAGCCAAGAAATAAATACCAAAGAAAAAAAATGGTTACTTGGAAGCTTAGTTCAATAGAAAACTGAATTGCTACTTGTTTAACCAAACTATACAGCTCTAGTGAACCGAACTAAACCGACTCGGAAGACTGAACATAAAAAAAACCCCAAAAAGCTAAAAAATAAAGGCATAAATCTGCATAATCAGAAGTTGGTTTCCATCCTACTCAAGTCCCTCCCTTTCCATCTAAGTTGTCTCAACTAGATTTCTGTAGGATCGAAGTAAACACCCCCTTCCCCCACCGACCTACGCTCTGGAAAAGCAGGAGCAATTCCCTCTCTGCTGGGGCAGCCACCTGCTCTTCCCTCTCTCTCCCAAATTTCCAAGGTTTCGATCAGCTTTGACAGGTTTTAGTGCCAGTCCTGATTTCACTATTTCCCCTTAAAAAAAAAAAAAAAAAAAAGGAAAATGAAAAAGAAGCAAAATGCTTCCTCCTCCAAACACCTGGAACATTCCGTTCCTGTCCCTCAGGCAGGAATAATTCACTTCATCCATGTTTTCTACTTACAAAGGAAAAAAAAACCTGCTCTTAAAACTCATCTTGCACTCGAAACATTATTTCCCTGTTTCCTGCAAGTGTTTTGCTAATGCACATCCACCCTTTCCTCCCCTCCCCAAAAATCCTCCAGAAGCCACTCATCCCACTCAGAGAGCCCCTCTCCGGATTTCCCAGCACGCTTCCTTGGAAACGTGGAATTCCCAACTCCAGCAGCCTGTGGTGGTGTCAAAGCCCTGCTGGGGTGGGGTTTGGACACCAGGCAGACTCGCTCTGCTCAAGGGAATTAAGATCTTGGGTTCACTTTGTTGTTGGATTATCAAGGAGAAGCGTTTAGCCCTCGGCATGCGCCGCCTCTGCCCACGATTCCCGCTGTCTACGCATTCCCAGATCCTCAGAGAACTCCAATGGGTCAGATTTGCAAGCCTTCTTCTGCACATAACATCCCATCTAAGTCCAATCCCAAACTTACTCGGTTGCCCTCATTCCAAAGTGCGGTATCATAACATATTAAAAAAGGAACAAATATTAAGAAATTGTACCTATTTTTGTCTCTTTTTTTTTCTTTTTTTTTTCCCCATTTTTTTTAAAGTTATAACTAGGATACGCTGGGATATTTTGGCTTTTTTTTTTTTTCTTATAAATAATGAAGACACTGACATTTTTCTCTGTGTGTGTGTGTGTGTGCTTGTGAAGCCAATAATCATCTCCACGAGACAGGCAGCGATGAGGAACTGGGATACGTTATCACGGGAAGGGGGAGGTTCAAGCCAATATTCACACTGCAGTCAATGGAGAGGACAGGGAGGGGGAGCAGTGATGTTCTGGAGAAAGGTGGGAGCCACATGGGATTAGCAGGAACAGCCTCCTTCACTGACAGGCTGCTCTTGAGGCTTTTCCAGTTTTATGTCAATCACTGGAAGGAGGGAGTTAAGGCAAACGGGTCTCCAGCTCTGTTTCCCTCACTGGTGTTTTCAGTATTTCCCTGGAATTTCAGTGTTCCCCCGGAATTTCAGTGTTTCCCTGGAATTTCAGTGTTCCCTGGAAGACTTGGAAAGACCAGCTCCAAAGCAAAGCTGAGATCAAGGTTTCTCACCACACCCTCGGGCCCATGATAAATATGCGGATAAACAACGTCAGCCCCCAAAGTTGTCTCTGACCAGAGTCTGCTCTTCCCAGCGATCCCAGGGATCTCCTGCTGCAGGAATTAAAAATGTGTGGACACCCTGAACGGTCTAATCACTGTTTCCACAGAATCACAGAAGCATTTAGGTTGGAAAAGACCTCCAAGACCATCAAGTCCAACCATTCTGCAGCACTGCCCAGGCCACCACTGACCCCTGCTCCCAAGTGCCATATCCACATGGCTGTTAAATCCCTCCAGGAATGGGGACTCCATCCCTGCCCTGGGCAGCTGTGTCAGTGTCTGACCACCCTTTCAGGGAAGAAACTTTCCCTAATATCCAACTTAAACCTCCCGTGGCACAACCTGAAGTTGTTTCCTCTTATCCTGTCGCTTGTTCAGAGGGAACCAGTCCCAGCCTGGAAACCCCCAGTGTGGAATCAATGCTGGATTCAGTATTCCAGCCCAGATTGCAGCAGGCACCCAGGAGAACATGGAAGCTCTGGAGGTGGCAGAAGCCTGGAAGAACCCAGGAAGGGGCAGCTCACTTCCCTCCCAAACTCCTGCTCCTCTGCTCCACAGGTAACAGGCAAGTACTTCCCTCTGCCTCCCCTGTCCACACTCGGCTCTGGGACAGGCAGGAGAGGGTTGGAATAGTGGGTATCCCATCCCTGGAAGTATCATAAGGCCAGGCCTGTCCAAGGTCAGGTTGGACACCCTGGGCTAGTGGAAGGTGTCCTTGCCCATGGCAGGGGTGGGACTGGATGGGCTTTAAGGTCCCTTCCAAGCCAAACCATCCTGTGATTCCATGATTCCAGAGAGATGGTGTGCTCTGTCAGAAGCCCCAGCAGCACATTCCAGCAAGGCCATTCCTTCTCAGGCTGTGCACATCCCTAACTCCCCATGTGCCATCCTGAACATTCCCATCCAGTCAAACCTCTCCAGTCAAACCTCTCTGCTCACCCCACCACCAGCCAGCAAAGCCTGAATTCCTCCTTCCAATGCCAGCTGATATCCCACAAGGACACTGCAGAGCTGGCTGCTCTGAACCTGTGACAAGCTGCTCCCTCTGCAGCACTCGGATTCCCAACGGATGCCCTCCAGTTCCAACCTCAAGGAGCCTTTCCCAGGAGGAGCTTTGAATGCTAATCCCCAACCTCAGTGTTTCCCTTATCAGGGAACACAGAGATCACACTGCTGGGACTTCCAGCTTGTCCCCTCAGGGGGGTGAAGCTGATTTTAGAGAGGTTTGGAGAAAATAAACACGGGAAGGGAAACAAGAGACCAATAATTCAAATATTTGGTCCATCTGGCTGCTCTGAACTCGCTGGGTATTTAAGTCAGAGATTCCCTGCCAGCTCCATCTCTGAGCACAACTGGTCTGAGATCCCTGAACTCTCCATGTCCTGCAAAAAAAGCTGATGGAAAATCCACTCCCAATAATCCCGTTCCATTGCTGCTATCTGCAGGCTGCAGGAAGCCAATTCCAAGTGCCCTCATTGCACTTCCATTTAGGGCCTGGTGATCAAACTCCCTGATAGAGCCTGTGCACTCTACCCCCACCTCATTAATAAAGATTGTTGCTCATTAACCTTCTGGGAACCTGCATAACAAGGCTTTGATCAAAGCACAAAGCTGTGCCTCAGCTGTGCCATCCACAGCTTCCCAAATCCTCTTCCCTGCACTATGATGGAATCTCAGCACCGAGCTCGTCCCCCTCCTACCGTTCCTTCCACGTCCTTCCTCCAAGGCACCATTTCTCCTCCATTTCCCAGACGCAAAGAAAACCAACAGCCCTGGAAAAGTTCCTGTTCCAAACACACCCACCTGGCCAGGAAAGGGATTCCAGTTCATGCAGAGACCTTTATCCCTTTTCCAGCCCTCATGCCATCAGTTGAGTCCTGTCCTCCCTCACACCACACAGATGCTGCCTGGGCTCCAGCACTGTCACAGGCTGCCCTGGGAGGTTATGGGATCTCCATCCTTGGAGATTTCCTGAGTTTCCCTGGATGTGACCCTGAGAAACTGGCCTAGATTTTGGAATGAGCCTTGCTGTGAGCAGCAGGGTTGGAGAAGGGACCTGCAGAGGATTGTTCTGGGATTCTGTCAGTCAGATCTGCAAGAGCCACAGGGGTTTCCTTTCGGCCTCTTTGCAGCTGTTTTCCCCCACCCCACATCCAAACTGTTCAAGCACCAAGCAAAGAATTCCTCTGGATCTGTTTGCACCTTCCCATACTTCCACCCGTACCCCCTCATCCTTCCCCTGCTGACTCCACCCTCAACACCCCCAAGCCCAACCTCCCACCCCACCAATCCTTCTCCCTCAGTGCTCCAAGCTCGGAGGTTACTTGCCCCTATTCCCCCTGTTTTTGGGATGTCCACAAGCTGGCTGCAGTGGGTTTTCCTCCAGGGAATGCCTGGCACAGCTGCATAAAGGATACTGTCTTCTCTACTTTTGTCTTGTGTGCTTTCCATCCCAGGCAAGGCAGCTGCCACACGTCGGAAAAGCTGCAAGAAACCACACGGGGAACAGATGAAAACAATCCAACCCCCCGGGAAGATACAGTTCAAACAATGACTCCACACATCCCCCAGCACTATTTGCACTGCTCAGCCCCAAACAGCCTGACACCAAATATAACCTTTATTCCCTGGAAACAGCACAGTCTCTGCTGTTATGGAGGCTCCCTGTGATCCAGACAAAGGAATGTGCCCAATCCTAAGCCTCACCTTTTGGTGCCATCGTTATCCCACGTCCACACTCGGGGTCTGAAGCACAAAACAATTTGGCATTTGCCATCCCAAAGCAGTTCTGCCCCTCACTTGAACACCAGCTCCAGTTTCCCAGCAGAGTTTGGGCTCAAACTCCCTTCCCAGTTTTATTCCACTTGAAGGAGGGTGAGAGTCCAGATGGAACGGGACTGATTCCCTCTCCTGCATTTCCTATCTGTCCCTGAGGCTCAGCCTTGTAGCTCCCACCACATGGCTTTTCTTCAGCCTACAGATTAATGCACAAGAACTCACTGGAATTCCCTGATCCCAGAACAACCCCTGCCTGGGAACAACCCAGCTCTGGGCTGTCCCTCAGCTGAGGGTGATCCCTGCCACGTTCAGTTTGTGGGAACCACACAAGGACAGCAATGATCTCTTTTCCACGTGCCTGGGGCAAGGACAGGACAGATCAGATGGATGGAAGGACAGATAACAGCTTTACTATCCATCAGGGTTATGAAATGGCCACCTAATTGGTTCTTCCCTTGGGAGAACAGCCCTGGCAGAGTCCTGATCCCATTGGGATGCACCCAGCACACACCCAGACAGAAATCCTTTAACATTCCTTAATATTTTTCCCCTATTACAGACAATGTTACTATGTACTTCTGGCTTATCAAGCTCTAGGACAGCAGCTGCTTCCAAGCCCTCCAGATCCCCATCCCTCAGTGTGTTCCCACCCCGACAGCAGTGCGGGATCCCAGAATGCCTGCTGTTGGGTCTGACGTCAGCCTTGCTGTGTTCCATTATTCCATGTTTTCCTGCCTCTCCTCAAATGACACAAAGCTAAACCACTTATTCCCAGTGACCCACTTTCCACAGAAAACCGAGCCACGCCCCTGCCAGCCTGTTCACATCAGGAATGTGGGTACCTGAGCAGCTTTTGGATCCGTGTCCAAGGCTCTTTGCCAGTTTGGCTCCCAAATGGTGCTGGGGAGACATTAAGACAACTGGACAAGTCCCCTCCAAGCTCACCGAGACCAAGCCCCCAGGTCTGGCTGGGATCTTTGCAGGGAAGTCTGGTACACACTGGAATGTGGTCCAGGACAAGGACAGGGCTCTGAGAAGTCACTCCTTGATGTCACTCACTGATTTCAGGCCCCAACTCCACAGTAACAAAGCTCAGTACACCCCTCTGTTTCCATGAACCTCTGCCACAATCCAGAACTTTCCCGGCTCCCGGAAAACCTCAGGGAAATTCTCCCAGGCCAACAAGATGGATTCCTCACTGATGGAATCTTAAAGAGTATTTTGACCCAGTCCTTGGCACAGAAGGTTTGGAAGGGTCCAAGGCTAGGCTGAAGCACCCTGGGCTAGTGGAAGGTGTCCCTGCCCGTGGGACTGGATGAGCTTTAACTTCCCTTCCACCCAAACCATTCTGGGATTCCATTTATTCCCTGTACAATACATAGAAAGCAATGAGGGGAATGTATAGAGGGAAAGGGTTGGGGAGTCTAAAAAATCCTCAGCTGAAGGAACCAGCTGGAATTGCTGCATTTAAACCAAGCTGCTGACAGGAAGGCCGTTTAAAATACACTAATCCTTGCTTTACATTAAGACCAGGAATAAAACGATGCTTTTAGCTGCATTTTTCCCCCGAATTATGTGACTAAAAATAGGAATTTGGCAACTAAGAAAATCAACTTTCACTCTTATTAACCTTCTGCCTTATCAGCCACAGCATACGTGGAGAGAAATCCAATTAGGGGAGCTTCCTGATGATTAGGAAGCTGCCTTCCCACAGGGCCTGACACAGACCCAGGGACTATACACACATAGATATGTTTAAATGTTTGTTACAGGGACTGTATACACCCAGATATGTTTAAATGTTTCTGTGGGTATAAAAACACACATATTGAGGGGCATTCAGGACTTCTTTTTCCCAAATGCAGCAGCTGAAAGACTAAAAGAGCCACACAAAGTCTCTCTGCAACCTCCTTCCCGATTAAACCCTGGGGGAAAACCCTCATCTCTCACTGTTAGTCTCAAGATTTGCCAGACTGTGCCTTTCCTCCCACTCCAGCCAGTAAATCCCCAGGGATCAGGGTCACAAAGGACTGTAGGATAAAGCAGTTTTCCCTGTCACCCTCCTGCAGCAATATGGGAAGGACAGGAAGATCCCTGCCCAGATGGAAAAGCCAGGCAAGAAACCGATGCAAAGCAAACAAAACTCTTTCCTTAATTCTCATTCTCTGCAACTCTGGGAATAATTCTTGGCCATCACACGGACAGAAATCAAGGGAGAGGAGGAGAAAGAGCCCGGGGTGAGTGAGGGGCCACGTCCCTTCAGCTGCTGCCATGAGAAAGTTCCTCTGCCAAGGGCCACATCCAGCCTGTGGCTCCTGGAGAGCCAATATGGAATGTGCCAGGTACTGCTGGAAGCAGGAATTCAAGGGCTCTCCCTCCCCTCTCCTTCGACAGGGCAGCAAAAGCAACCCTGACACATTCTGGGCATGAAATCCAGCGCCTGGCAATGAGATTCCCTGAAACACAGGCTGTGGAGACAGAGCAGGGATCCCAAAGTCTTTTAAAGCCTTTTCAGGGCTGCCAGAATGAATTAAAGGCATTCAATGAAGCAAGTTATCCACTTCTACATCTGAAGGCTCCTGGGAAGTTTCTATACTGGCAGGCAGGAATTTTACATGGAAGGTAAAAAAAAAACAAATCTCCAAAACAAACAGCTCATATTCCCTAATCCACACGTTCCACTGACAGTATCCAAGCTGTTAATTAATTCCTAAATCTGAACCTGCCTCTTAGTGACAAACCAGTGAATCACCAACTACTCCAAAACTCACCTTTACATTAGTATTTAATAACTAATATCTTAATTTTGACATAAAATTTCATTTCATGTAGTAAAAAATTTCATTTCATGCAGTCAAAATATAAAATTTCACTTCATGTAGTCAAAAAATAAAATTCCATTTCATGTAGTCAAAATAGAAAATTTCGTTTCAGGTAGTCAAAAAATAAAATTTCATTTTATGTGGTCAAAATACAACTGTATTTGTATCTAAAATAATTTGACACTTGAATTAAAAATCCTAGATGGAAATTAACTTGGACTGGGATTGTTCTACGGAATTAAAATATCTTCTTAGTTATCAGTTATGGGAAGGTCAGATTTGCACTCAGCTGATTAAAGATCTTATTAAAGGGAGGGGATCCATTCAGCAGATGTAGCCAAGGGGGATAATTTATTGGTAAATAAATTAGATAAATAAGATACTAAGTTAAAATAAATTCATACAATTCAATAGAGAAGCTGCAAGAAAACAGGAACCTCTCTAAGTAGTGGTATTAAAAGTCTTATCCTCTGAGAATTGTTTCAACCACCACTTCTTAAACTAATAAAAAATGAGAGTTGTAAATATTCTGCAGCTTTGAAATCATTGAGAATTCCAATCCATGCCTACAACAAGGATCAAAACTGAGAGGAAAAATCCATTTTTAGCTCTTTTTGAATAACCACTCGTGTCTTTGCTCTCCAGGGCACACCCCCAGGCCTAAGCACTCATTAAGGACTGCAGCAAAGATCCAAACCTTAATTACCAGCCTGTGTTGTGGCAGGATAATTGTGGAGCCTGGAATGCAGCACTTCCATGGCTGCTAATGCACTGGATCTCAGCACTGAGATAACACATCTAATTATTCCATTAGAGAGGGAATAATTTTACTACTTCTACACAAAGTCAAGGGACATTTTAATAACAGCCCCTTCAGTCCTGTCTATCATGGACAAAGGAGTTTATAATCCTATTTTAGCAGCTACTGGGACCATTCTGCACATGAACTGGGCAACTACATGTATAAAACAGAATGTAAGGATACACACACACGGAATCCCAGGGTGGCTGGGGTTGGAAGGGACCTTAAAGCTCATCTCATTCCACCCCCTGCCATGGGCAGGGACACCCGCCACTAGCCCAGGTTGCTCCAGCCTGGCCTTGGACACTTCCAGGGATGGGGAAGCCACAGCTTCTCTGGGCAACCTGGGCCAGGGCCTCCCCACCCTCCCAGCCAGGAATTCCTTCCCAATATCCCATCATTTCACTGCTTTCCTCATTAAAAGCAGCTCAGCATCTACTAGAAATAAACAGCTTTGGCTCTCCAGGAACATTTGCTCCCACTTCCAGTGCCTCCCAGCAGAGTGGGAACCCCAGTTCACACTCCTTGTGCATCGGCAGCATTTCAAGCCACCAGGCTCCTCCTGGAGTGGTTCATTCCCTGAAAGGGGATCGGGAACAGCCCTCAGACCTGTGTTTTCCCAACTTTTTGCCTCCCTTTCAGTCTAAACCCCAAATCTGGATTACCAGAAATCCAGGAATGGATGATCCTGCACTCACAAAGCTTCTTCCATCACGTGGAAAGAAGTCCCAAGGTCAGGGATCCTCCTGAACCTCGGCCAACAACCCAACTCCGAGATGTTCCTTGCTGTGCATGGACTACAAACATCCCTCTGTCCAAGTTTTCCCAGTGTCCAGGGAAGTCCTGGTCCCAGGGGGGTGTTTTGGCAGGAGCCACTCACCTGTTTTACATTGTATCCTGCTTTTGCACTAGTTTCAATGAACATTACATTCAACTCTTTGGCTTTTCTCTCTCCTTCCTCGATGGACACTTGTCTGGGGGAGACAACACAGAGTCAGGAAAAAAAATTAAGATTATTACAGTTCTGAAAGCATTCAGTGGTTTTTTTTCCCTGCATGACAGGTATCACCACTTCAGCTATCAGACAGACTCCCAGGGCACATCTGGCTCCCAATATTTCCATGGAAGAGCCAACCAGACTCCCCCTAAATCCCTGTCTGAACAATTATCCGTCAGTGCCCTTTAACATTTAAAAATGATCATAAAGAACAAACTGTTTTAACCAAGGTCCAAGTGTAACCATCTCACATGGAAGGAATTTTGTCCCCTTTTTTCCTTGGATAGGTGTCCCTCTCATTAATCATCCTGTTAGAGCTAAAACAAGGGGGGAAATTTGGGTTCAAGAGCTGCCAAACAAAAATCATGAGGTATCTGAGGGGTTATATATATTTTTATTTATATATATATATATAATTCTTAACAGGAGGCCATAAATCTGAAGGAAGTGATCTCAAAGAAACAGTGATTTTGATCAAATCCAGAATCCATAGGTTTGGCTCTGTGACCCTTTATCATTTGTGTTAATACCATAAACCCAAAATAAGCAGCAAACACAGCAAAAGCTGAAGATGTACAACATCTAATAAAAATAATTCAGCTTGCAAACTTCTGAGAAGCCCTGAGGAGTCTCAAAAGGGAGCAACCATAATTTAGATGGGATTTATATTTGCACCTATCATTTCTTTCTGAGCAGATTTATTAAGAATAAATCCTTGTCATCAGTTTATTCATTTACTGATGCAGGTTGGAGTTAACACTCTGTTTTATCCTGAACAAGTTGGTGGTGGTTTCTCAACTCATTCCCAGCTGGAAAACTTGGTTTAACCAAATTCTGCCGCTGGAAATTCGGTTTAACCACACAAAAGGGGGTTTAAAATCGAGATTTCTCGAGTCAGAACTAAAACAAGCTCGAGCATTTTGGGAGCAAAAATACATTTAAAAACCCCTTCTAAACCAGCAGCAGAGTAAGAAGAGCATTTAAAAGATGAATTCATGATTCCTCCATACCTTTTATCTGCTAGATCTGTTTTGTTCCCCACCAGCATGATGATGACGTCACTGCCCCGTTCCGTTCTGACGTCATCAATCCATTTTGTTGTTTGCTGGAACGAGTTTACATCTATCAGGGAACAGTGGAGAGGATTATCACTGCAGGAACCCCTCACAGCCCTAGGAAAAACAGCTGGCATCTGAAATCAAAGCTCCATTTCTGTGGAACTGGGATGAAGACCCAGCAAGTGAAACCCTGAATCTCCCCCACTACAGGATGTGAAAACTTTGGCATTAATTTCAGGTGCTTCATCACAGGGGACTCAAAGCCAGGGAGGGAACTGAGTCCATCTACGATTTTGCCTTTGACAGCATCTAAAATGAGTCTTCTCCCCGTGTTTCAGCTCCTTTATTTCTAAAATAAAATATGAACTATTTTCTCTAGAGAATAGGGGTTAATTTGTGCCTTCTGCCCGTGGCTTGTGCTCGTGCTGTTCCACTGCTCCTCCAAAGTCCTCAATCCCAATTACGAATCCCGTACACTTTAATCACCTTTTATTTCCCTAGGCAATCCCAGGGTTTTACAACACACCGGCAGCTCCTGGGGCATTCAACACTTGCCTTCAAAACAACTTCCAAATCACTTGCACGGAACCAGACAAAGAAATTTAACCTTTTCACAGGCATTTTAATTTAATGCTGCATCCTTAAGAGCTGCAAGGGAAGAATTTCAGACTGTGTGGGGCTTGAAAAGTTGAATCCCATGAGGAAAAAGGAGTTGGAGGGAAGCTGCCACGGAGCTCAGTGTTACACAAAGAGCATCTGAGCTGCCAAAGTAGTTTTAGTACTTTAAAAGGGGGGGGTTTCTGCAGCAGTTCTTGCAAAATATTGATTTCTTTAATGGCTTTTACTGCAAAGTTATATATTGTGTTAGACAGCCAAGACTTGATCATCTGCCAGTGTCTTAATTCTTCTCTTTACCACTCGGTAATGTGGAATTTGCCAGGTCAGTAAAAAATTTCACCTGTAATTTTAGCTCAAATGGAAGTGGTATTTTTAACAATTAAAGCTTTTCTAGGCAAAGCCCTGACTCCTTCAGTAATCTTCTAGTATTTATAAATCAAAGCACTTCTGCCCTAGTGTAGAATTAGGCCACTGCTCTCAGCCTGGAATTTAGTTCTCTCCTAAAACACAGTTCCTGCTCTTTGTCAGTAAGTTAAGGGGTGTCTGGACTGAGGGGAGGGACAGAAGGAAGAGGGTTGAAAAAAGCACTAATATTTTTAGTTGACAAAAATGTACATACCTTAGTAAGAAATGAGAGAGCAATTGTTAAAGGGGGAGGGCTTGGTGGCAACTTTTATACATTGCAGAGTGCGAGAGTGACAAATTCCAGGGAAAATGGGATGTTAATGCGTGTTCCCCGCCAGCCCATTCCCAGAGTTTTTTGGTGGGAGAGGGTAAATGAAGTGAAGCAAGCTACAGAAAGCCTCCAATTGAGGAATTCAGATATCCATGAAGACCCAAAGTCACAGTGATGTTATGATTAAGAAGCAGATGAAAGGAAGCAGGCAGGCTCGAGGTGACCGGAGTAGGGAAGGGTTAAAATGATGTTACTGTGAGACATTTATACGTTACACCAGCAGCAAAACGAGAAAAAAACCCACATTTATTTCCATGCCGGGACGAAGATCAAGCAGATGACGTGAGAGGACATGCAAAGCTAAGCTAGAGGATGGAAGGGGCAGAGGATTAGAAATGCAGAATTCCCCCCACTCACTTGTGATATCATAAACAACAACTGCAACAGTGGAGTCACGAATGTAGCTAGGGATCAAGCTCCTGAACCGCTCTTGACCTGCTGTGTCCCACAATTGCAACCGTACCTAACAAAATCAGTCAAACAAGCAAGAAAAATAAGCACAAGGAAGGTCAAACCCCGGTGCAGAAATACCTACTTGTGATATCGTAAACTACTACGGCAGCGGCCGAGTCGCGGATGTAACTGGGAATGAGGCTACGGAAACGCTCCTGCCCCGCGGTATCCCACAGCTGCAACCTGATCTGTGGGCGGGAGAGAGTTAAAAGAGCCAAACTGCCACAAAAATGAGAGAGGAAAGAGGGTTTAGCGTGGGAAAAGGCTGAATAAAGTGAGGGGAAACTCATGCAGGGGCGCTGGCGCCTCGCGGTGACGTCTCCCGAGGGATCGGCAGCAGCAAAACTGAGGGGGTGCAAGGAGCTCAGCTTCCCGAAAAATGGCGAGCAAAATCACTTGGCTTTCAAGGATCAACAAGAAAACTACGGCTAAATGGTGGAATCACCATCCCTGGAAGCACTCAAAAGGCCTGTGGATCCACCACCATCCACAGAAGGGTTCCAAAGGCCTGTGGATCCATCACCATCCATGGAAGGGCTCCAAAGGCCTGTGGATCCACCACCATCCATGGAAGGGCTCCAAAGGCCTGTGGATCCATCACCATCCATGGAAGGGCTCCAAAGGCCTGTGGATCCACCACCATCCCTGGAAGCACTCAAAAGGCCTGTGGATCCATCACCATCCACGGAAGGGCTCCAAAGGCCTGTGGATCCACCACCATCCACGGAAGGGTTCCAAAGGCCTGTGGATCCACTACCAGCCCTGGAAGGGCTCAGAAGGGAAGAACTTCAGACTGTGTAGAGCTTGAAAAATTGAATTCCTTAAGGATTAACCTTAAGGATTAACCAGATGGACCAACCACCAAGCCCTGGAAGGGCTCCAAAGGCCTGTAGATCCACTACTATCCCTGGAAGGGCTCACAAGCTCTGTGGATGTGGCACTTGGGGGCAGGGGTTGGTGGTGGGCCTGGAAGTGCTGGACTCGATGGAATTAGAGGGATTTTCCAACCTAAATGACTCTATTATTCCATGAACTGTTCCCATGCAGTTCTCCCCACACAGGAGTTTCGTGCTCTGCTCTTGTCCTGAGGACTTTGTGAGTCCTCAGGACTCACAAAGGCAACCTCCAGCAGCTTGAAGGATGGTTGCTGGTGGAAAAGCTGGAAAACCTGCTCCTGTCAGTTTTCCAAGGAGGATAAAATGCCAGCTATAGCCCTGTACTGCAAGGTAAGGTGCCCACAGATGGGGCTGAACGTCTCTTACCATCCAGGTGCTGGAAGAAAAGGCAAGATACACTTAAAAGCAACGTGTGCAGGGGTCAGTTTGGGTTTGGAAAGCACATCCACCCCTCAGGCACCTCCCATGCAATCCAATTTCCTGGAGGTTTATATCCACCACGAGCTCCTGCAGCACTGCACAGCTTTGCTTCTGCAAACAGCTCAGCAGATGAACTTCTTAATTAAGGATCCGAGCTCATTTTAAACCCCAGGTTTGCTTCCAGAGAGGAGTGATGTCATTCCAGGAGCTCGGGCTGCACCAAGCTGAGAGTCAGGGATCATTTGGGGGTCACCACCAGAGCCACCCTCATTTTAATCAAGGAATATCAACTGGCCACATTTGGCAGTTTAGATTTTATCCTTTTTGTGGCATCAAAACCTGAAGGGGTCTGAATTCCCACTGTTTGCACCCCTCCAGTTCTCTGTCTCCTCTCTCTCCTCACACGGGGTGACACTAAAGAGCTGCTGTCAAATGGCCCTCGAGGAGGAACCAAATGGATTCCCGTCTCCCACTGCTGCGTCTCCACTTGTCAGGCTGGAAGCAGCTGGGAGATGAAGGCTCAGGCTGTGCTTCCAAGTGATCTCACAACTGGGGGCTGCCCAAAACAGATGCTGCTCCTCATCCCCACTGTGCAAGGACAACAAAAGCTCACTCACTGTTCGATCCTCCAAGTACATGGTTTTCGATAGGAAGTCGATGCCAATTGTTGCCTGGGAAGAGATGAGAAAACCAAGAGTTCTTAAATCAAATGGCAGGACACCTGCAGGGATTTCCAGGGGAAAATCAGCACCTTGCAGGAAAAATGGGCTGCTTTTCTCACTTACAGCTCCATTCAACGAGCGATTTCTTTAATATCTCCACAGTCAGACCAGTTTCTTGAAGCACAAAAGGTTATCAACTTCAATTTATGCATACTGACAGTTTAATCCATACAGTTCTTTAGGAATGACCCAAATTAGTGTCCTCCAGCTCAACCAGGGTATGTGGGCACATTGTCTTCTTCCCAGCTGCCAAATACCTTCACGGCTCTTCCCTTTTTTCCCTCAGATTAGGGCAGAAATCTTCAACAACACATGGGCACGTGGACACATGGCCCCCAAAAACTAAAGCTTAGCTCATCTTCACTGCACCCAAACTTCCAGACACCACTGGGAGCTTCCTGTGGGACATCCTGAATAAATGTTTTAAGGAAACTAAAGTGCTATCAAGAGCTGCTTCTTAAATACATGACCTTCATCCCATTTTCCAAGGCTGCAGGGAGGGTAAATCCCTCTTCCCTCCTCTCCTGGAGCCCCTTTAGACACTGGAAGGGGCTCTGAGGTCTCCCTGGAGCTTTTCTTCTCCAGGCTGGACAACCCCAGTTCTCCCAGCCTGTCCCATCAGGACACAATCCAGGGAAAGGATTCCAGCACTCCCTGTATCCCAGATTTTTATTAAAACAGCAATTCCACGGCACGTCACGTACGGTGCCAGAGAACAAGGGAAATCATTCCCAGCATGTCCATGGGGGGGAATCACTCCCAGTAAGACACACACCTCCAGTGGCACAGTTTTATTCCAGTTGTTTGGGTTTCTGACAGTCCAGCACCTTCATATCAATAAACACAGGGGCAACAGAACTCCTTTATCCAGCAGGGAGCAAAAGGCAACCAATGCCCAGCAGGGATTTTATCAAACACAGCTTTCTGTTTTGAACAGCTGAACACAAAACCCCTCGTTCAAATGACACATTCCAGGAAAATACGTCTTCAAAATGTATCCCGAGCTCAGAATCAGCCCTGAACTCACCTCCAGCTGCACTCAACCACAATCCTGGTTTGGGATCATTAAACCCTGGCTTTGGAATTCTCTCCGGAATCCTGGGCATCGAAAAATGTGGTTCTGGGTTTGACACCAACACTCACTGTGAGTCTGCCCAAATTACTGGGGTTTTTTATGACTGATTCCTTCTTCCAGATCAAAAATAGGACGTATGGCCCCACCTCAGTGATGACATCAGTCAAAGAGAGGTTTTTGGATGAATGGCACTAAAACAACTCCATTAACACCCAAACCAGACACCCATCAGTGATCCCTAAACTGAATTTTTCTCGTTCAACCCTTAAGATTTCTTGCTGTGGTTGAAACAAGATCCCTGGGTAGACACCAAGCAACAAAAGAGTGACATTTTTCCTTTTTTTCCTCCCATTCCTCCTCCTCCCAGCCCCCTAAAAAAACCTTCCCATGCCTCAGGGAACAGATTTTTCTCAGTTCAGTGTATCCAGAATGTCACCACCTGTAACCAAGTCATGAAACACGTTCTGCTTGCCAGAGACACACTTTAGAAAACTCAAGTATTTTTAGAGCTTCCCACCTTTTCAAGCTCATCCTGAATTCTGGGAGTGGGAAACAATGACTGGAACAATCCTGGAATGGACAAAGCTAATTTTCTAATTTTTTTTTCTCTGTTTTTTATGATTTTCTAGCTTGTGACAACTTGTTTTATAAAAGAGCTGGGTACCTGTTAAGTTTTCCCCACACAGGGATTAGATCTGGGATGGTCTGGGAACAAATGGTGGGGAAAAAAAACATGGAAGACTTAACTATTCCTTGGGTATTCCTGTAGAACCACAGCTCATCCAGCAGAATCCAACCCTGAAGTGCCACTGCAGGTGGTTAAAATTAAGATTTCACAAGTTCAGACTTTAATCAGTGTCCCAACTCCTATGGAATGGCCTCTTCCTGCCACGGAACCCACTTGGACAAGGCAATAATAGGGATTAATTTACCTGGTAGGTGTTGTCAAAGCTGTCATACATGAACCTGGTGATCAAGGAAGTCTTCCCCACTGCAAGAAGGAAAAAAAACATGGATTCAAGGAACAATTCCAGCTGTAAGCACACAATTTAAAAATGATTTACTGTGTCCAATAGATCCAGAGTGTGCAGTGAAACTTCCTGCAAGGAAAAGAGCAGTTATTTGATTTTACAACTGCAAAGTCACTGGGAGACACGTTCTTATTTCCTGTATCATTCCCAAGCATCTGTTTTATCCTTAAATATCGGTGATTTGAGATGAAAATTGAAAGAATTTCTACCAGGTAATTCAAAGACTTGAGTTGAACTAAATGAACAAATTTAATAGGTCTGACAACCCTTAAAACTAATTATTATTAACAAAAGGCTCTTCTCGCTCATATTTTATGGATAATTTTTTCCTTCTCCAACATCTTCAGCTGGAAGGGATCAACAAGATCCCCTGGGAAGTGGAGCATCCCAACCTGCCTCACTTCACTTTGTATAAATCCTCTTAACTGCAGGCAGAGAATTCCAGAAGCAACTGGAGTTACTCAAGGATACACCACTTCCCACTGCTTTCTCCCAACCTCCTGGAAGCTGGAATCCCCACTGGCAGAGGAGAGGAGCTCAGTGACTTTTGCTGGACACCAAACCCTGCAGGTGCAGGGAAAAGGCAGGAAAAAGGGGCACAAAGGCAGAGCTTGTGTTTTCCAAGCAATTTTCCAGAGATTTTAGTTCTCTGCCAGGGTGCCCAGCAGGAGAACAGGGGGGTTTAAGCCATGATTAAGGTCCCTTCCTACCCAAACCACCCTGTGAGGATTCTTTGATTTCTAGTGCAGGATTTTTTCACCAAAATCTCTTGGATCACAATTGAGCAGCATTTTGATCCAGAGGGAACCAACTGCCTTTGGGAGATTTTCCCAACCCAAAATCTGAATTCCCAGGTGAGTTTCTCACATATTCTGCTCCCCCTCCCCCAAAAGTTCAAAAGCTGGCTCTGCAAAGGGGAAGCAAATACTCCCTTCTGGGAGGAGGTTTTGGGAAGCAGCACATCCCAGATGGGCAGGAATCCTGACTCCCTGGTTATTTGTCCCATAGGTGTGCAGGACAAACAGCTGCTGTGTTTCATCCCAGATCCAGGGACGATCCTCAGCACAGGGGTGAGCAAATCCAATCCCTTCCCGCTCCAGCACAGGCTGTAAATCCCAGGAATCGATTTGCAGCACCACAAGCTGGTTTTCCTCACGTGGCCACTGATGCAAACAGACAAATTCAATTCTTTCCAGCTCCAATCAAAGCCCTGGAATTATTTGCTCTGCTAAGTCACAACCCCTGAAGGACACTGAAGTACTCCAGGCAATTTTTCCCTTTCCAGCTGTACCTGACATGTCTTGGATTGGGTCTGTCCCTAAATTATAAACCTGAAAATACCCTGTTTATTCCTGGAGCTTCCCTGCCCTCCCTTCACTCCTTTCCCAGAGAGAAGGGAACAATAAGGTGCTGCTTGACTTGTTTATATTTAAATATCTGCTCCAACAAACATTTGGACAAAGTGGCTTAATGGACTTGCATCCAAGACATGTCTTTTCCAAACAGACATTCCCACCAGAATGTTGACAGGCACCAGATCCAGTTGGTATTAATACCAACTGCTCACAGCTCTAATTCCATCACTACCGAGGCATCACCATTCCTGCTTTTTAAAAGAACTCAACCAACTCCCTTGAAAAATCCCAGAAAAGGGACCTTTTTCCTTCTTTAAATCCTGGCAGAAGTGAAAGCCCACAATTCCCACTGTACCTATAATTAAAGGGAACAAAATATCAGGGGCTCCCCTGCTACAAGTTTAGGTTATATAAACAGAAGACTTGTTTATTCCAAGCCTGGAATATTCCCAATGTCAATATTCCCTACTGCCAATGGCACAAACTATTCCCAGCCCTACAAAAAACAGTGGGATGAATCACCTTGGGATTCATATCCCATCCTTTGCCAAAGGGATGTGGATGGATATGCTGGTTATCCTAAGCCATGCTCCTAAAAAACCCTGTTCCAAGGAGCTTGAGCAGGGAATGAAAACAGGGAGAAATCCATGTACTGTTAAGTTCTGTTGAGCATCTTTCTCCCACACGGAGCCCTGGGAACCAAAGCCTGGGAATTCTGTGTGTGCTGAGCAGGGAGACATGGATGAGTTTTATTTTATTCCACATAATCCCGGAAAATGCAGGAGTGACCTCAGGAGGAGAATGAAGCTCCGCAGGGAGAAGCAGCACAAGGATAACATGGAGACAAGAAGAAGCAGCTGCTTGAAATACAGATGAGAAACAACTGGATAAGTAATCCAGGGATTCTGCCCAAAGGAAGGGGATAAGACAGGCAAGATTTCAGCTGGGTTTCATTAAGCAGTGGGTTGGTTTTAACCCAGGGAGATAATTTAATCTCTTGGAAAAAATTCCACACACAAGCGTGTCCAGGGCAGAATTAGTCAGCAGAAAGGGCAAAATATTCCTGCTATGCTGCTGGGATAATTAAAAAAATAAGGATAACATTATTCTTGGAGGGATAAAGGTAAGGGAGGAAATGCTGGGAATGGAGGAAAACCTCAATTCAGGAGCTGAGTAGGAAGCTTTTGGCAAAAAAATGAAAGGCAGTTTGCACAATTCCCACTAAACACCTGAAAGGTGAGGGACAGAAGTGCCCAGGAAAAGGGGTTTCCAGCTGCTTTTCCCTCTGGAGATCAGGATTTAACAGCTAAAATCCAAGTCCAAGCGCAGTCCTCCCAGAACAGGCATGAACTTGGAAATGGAGGCTATTGAACTCTGGAATAACCTATTTATTCGAGCAGTGGATCCTCCTCCCTTCCTTGGAATGCAGAGTTGTCAGGTGTCATTCCACAGCAGGAATTTACACCCAAAGCATTCAGAATTTTTGGAAGCAGAGGGAAGCCAAGTGATTATCCAAAGGAACCCTTTGTTTCCACATGGCACCTGGATCAATTGTGGACATTTTTCTGTTATTAAGGGGCCAAGCAACAGCTTCAGACTGGCTCCTTCCAACTTTTTATGCAGGAAGAATTCCACATCAAACAGCTCCTCATCCCACAGTTGTGGTTCGGATGTCATTGTTAAAGTGCTGTGATAATAAAATCATGGGATGGGGTGGACTGGAAGGGACGTCAACATCCAATTCCAACCCCTGTCATGGGCAGGGACACCTCCCACTAGTCCAGGTTGCTCCAACCTGGCCTTGGACACTTCCAGGGATGGGGTAGCCACAGCTTTTCTGGGCAACCTGGGCCAGGGCCTCCCTACCCTCACAGCCAGGAATTTCTTCCCAATATCCCATCTAACCCTGCCCTCTGGCAGTGGGAAGCCATTCCCTTTGTCCTGTCCCTCCATCCCTTGTCCCCAGTCCCTCTCCAGCTCTCCTGGAGCCCCTTTAGGCCCTGCAAGGGGCTCTCAGCTCTCCCTGGAGCCTTCTCTTCTCCAGGTGAACCCCCCCAGCTCTCCCAGAGCAGAGGCCGCTCCTATCATCTAATTATCCATGTACACTCCTGAATGGGAAGGCAACCAGCTCCAACAGGAATGTTTAAGCTTGGATCTGCCTTGCTCCAATGGTTTTCCTCTGGCAGATCAGCTCTAGAGGTCACTGGTGTCCCTCCCCACGTCCTGCTGCTCAGCCCTCGTTAACACACACTAATTACCTGCATTAATTCTGAGGGGCTGCCATGTTCCCATGTGTCCTGGCACAGGGAGAAGTTGATCGTCCCGGTATAGAAAAATAGGGAATTCCTAAAAGGAAAGGTTTGATCCCTGGTTCAGCACAGAAACAAGCAGGTTCCCGAATCTTAACATCCTGCTAAACCAGCAGCTGGATCAGAGGCAGCAACAACCCAAAGAACCCACTTAAAGGATGGGAATTGTGACGTTCCCACCAGCGGAATTGCCATGAACTGAACTCCAAGCCTTCAGCTCATGGAGTCACTCCGATCAATGCCCTTTGTCTGGGAGTGCTGAGCCCCTGCCTGGCAGGGATTCCGGGAAGAACATCCAGCTGCAAGACGGGATCGATGCTGATCCCGTGGTTCCCGCGGCTTTGATCCGAGAGCAGCCACTGGAGAGATTCCAAGGTCGTTCCATGTGATTCCTGCCAGCCGCCTTGTCCTGCTCCCAGGGGTTTGTGTGTCCAACCCCAGCCAGAGGAATGCCATTGACTGATGGCGGCTCCGACTCCGGAATGCCGGATCCCACCCTAAGGAGGCTCTGGGGAGCAGGGAAGAGACCCATTGGATAACACGGATCATTCCCTGCCAGCACAGGATTAGGAGGACACTCCTTGCCAGAGTCTGCAAAGGAACAGTCAGGAGAGACCTACCCAGGAAAACTGGGATTGTGCCCCTCGGACTGCGTGAGGACTGACAGCCCTTTTCATTTTCCTTAGGAATGTTTGCCTCTCTCATACATCTTGGACAAGGATTCCCCTGGAAAAGTCACACTTCAGTCTCCGAGTTCAGACCAGCAATCAGGAAAAAAAAAAACAACAATATCTGCAGAGCAAAATAATCTTAAAAGTGATCACCACATCCAGTCTTTCCACTGGAGAGCTGGAAAACTTCACCTCTCCCAGGCTTGGATAACGAAGATCCAACCGGCTTTAATTGATTAATTAATTAGTTAATTAATTTTTAAAAAATCCCTGAGTTTATCCACAGTGAGGAATTTGAGGACAGCACCCAGTTCCATCTCAGAGCAGAGGCAAAAGGCCTCTCCTTGCTCTAATTAAAGGATTTTTTTCCCCTATGGATTCCACTCCTGCTCTGTTGTCAAACCTCCTTTATCCTGCATTTTTTTTCCTGATGGGAGATGAGATCCCACCAAAGGACCATCTGAGCCAATGCTCTGCATTCTTAAGTCCTCAATAAATTAAAAAAAAAAAGAAATAAAATCAAGGAAAAAAAAATAGAAGCAGCAGAAAGCCTGCAAAGGATAAACCTTTGGAAATCCATCCCTGGAGCCCTCTAAGTAGTTTTGTTTACAACTAAAATTATGGA